TCCTTGGAACCATGGAAAAGCCGTTTCCACGATAGAGAGTATATTCAGTCCCTAGACACGCGGCTTTATCACAGTAACCCGCAAGGGAAGTTTCTTGTGAGCTTCTCTAGAAACTTTACAAAGCTTCTGTGTGAAGAGCTAGACCCTCTAGAATTTATCTTTACAGGTGGTCTCATTGACGATTGTTACTTTGATGCGGTAAGTACGGCCCTTTGCATCTACCGAATTCGAGATTAACATAAGAGATCCAGATCGACCGTTCGAACAGCTGTAGCAGAATCACGGCGTACCTCGAGCTATTAGTGCACGCGAATCCGCAGATGAGAATACTTGAGATTGGCGCTGGAACGGGGTCTGCTACGAGAATCTTCTTAAGCACGTTGGGACGAGGGCGGGATAATTCGCAACCCTCTAGATATGCGCACTGGGAATACACTGACATCTCGCGCTCGTTCTTCGGCGAGGCAACGTGTAAATTTGCTGCGGAGGGGAATCGAATGAGCTTCAACCCTCTTGATATCGAACAAGATCCTGAGCAACAGGGCTTCGAGTGCGGCACGTATGACCTGGTTGTTGCTTCATTGGTATGCCCCTTATGACGCTTTGAAGCTGCTCTATCTTAGTACACCCACTAATATACGGATTATAGGTGATTCATGCCACTTCAGACTTAACCAAGACCTTGAACCATGTTCGAAAGCTTTTAAAACCGTAAGGGAATATGAAGCAGTCCCTATTTTAAAACATACAGTTTACTAATAGCCTATAACAGTGGCGGAAAACTGATCATGAACGAAATGATCAACCCCGCGCGTTCTGCGTACGTATTTGGGCTTCTCGAGGGCTGGTGGTTGGGTAAGTATCATACATTGTCCGGTAGCCAGGAACGTTGATAGAGATGCTGACATGCAAAGGCTGCGAATCGTATCGTTCGCTGGGCCCTTGTATAGATGAACGACGCTGGCATGAGCTTCTATTGCAGACCGGATTCTCAGGTTGTGACCTTGTCTTTCCTGACGTCGAGAAAGCTCCTTGCCCAGAAAATGCCGTTATCATTGCCACAGCTACTCAAAGCACTCGAGAGGCGGCCAGAGGTCCTCGGATTCAAATTGTCCGTGACCCGACTGACAGCGTTCAGGCTAAACTTGCACGGCTACTTGAAGAGGGATGTCGAGAACTGACAGGTTCTTCGGTAGAATGTGTCTCATTTGAGGAAACGGGGTCCTCCAGCGATCTATTAAGAGTCTTCTTGCTTGAATATAGCAAGCCAGTACTGTATGGTATGAAGGAAGAAGTGTATACAAGACTCCAGACTCTTCTCCTCTCTACCGAAACCACTCTCTGGGTCACTGAGGGAGGAGGAAAGGGCTCCACAAGGCCAGATCTGCACCTCATTGAAGGTCTATTCAGAGTGTTAGCTGAAGAGGATGGAGGCCGAAACCGTTACCTTCTTTCTCTTGAACGACAGCAAACAGAAGGACACCCTCACCACCGACTAGTGCTAGATCTCATATCGCACATTCTTTCCCCGGTCTCTTCAGTTGTTGACTCTGAATATACTGAGCATCAAGGCGTACTACAAATTGGGCGCATGGTTAACCATCTGCCTCTGAACAACGCTGTCTCAGTTCAGACAAATCCACGACAAGCCATCATGAGACCATTGGGCTGTGGGACCGAACTGCGTCTTGATGCTTCGTCCTCCAGCATGACGAACGGTTTTCAGTTCATCGAGGCCGAATGGGGTGATCGGGCTCTTGCTGCCAACGAAGTGGAGCTCGAGGTCAGCTATGTGGGCGTCAACTTCCGCGATGTTCTTGTTGCCCTAGGTCAGCTTAATGTCGGGGGCATAGGCCTCGAATGTAGCGGCACTATTACGCGTGTTGGTACAGCGTGTCGTAAGTTCAAACCCGGAGATAAAGTTGTCGGTTTTCTGCCCGACTGCTGCTCAACACATCTCCGGTTTCTCGAGGCGGACCCTGTTGTTCCTATCCCCCAGGGCATCTCCCTGACTGCTGCGGCTTCCATCCCAGCAAACTTCATTACTGCGTATATGGGACTGAAGGAGCTCGCGCGAATTCAGCCTGGTGAATCTGTCCTAATCCATTCTGGAGCTGGCGGTACAGGCCAAGCAGCGATACAGATCGCGAAACACTTCGGAGCCCAGGTCTATACTACAGTAGGCTCTGAAAGCAAAAAGGCGTTTCTAATGGAAACATATGGAATCCCCGAATCCCATATTTACTCTAGTAGATCCACACTCTTCTCAAAGGCCATTCTCCAACAAACCGCAGGGAAGGGAGTGGATATAATCTTGAACTCACTCTCAGGTGAAAGCCTCATCAAGTCATGGGAGTGCATTGCCCCGTACGGCAGATTCATTGAAATTGGCAAGAAGGACATTCTCTCGAACAGCAAGCTTCCGATGTTCCAATTTGCAAAGAATACAGCATTCATCTGTCTCGACCTAGGGTCTCTGGCAAAGGACCGCCCAACTGCTTGCGTGTCTGCGCTAACAGAGATCTTGGCTTTGCTCGTGGAGGGAAGGTTACAACCCCCAAGTCCAATCGCCACATACGGCGTCGGTGAGATGGAGAAAGCTTTTCGACTAATGCAGGGTGGGAAGCATCACGGTAAGTTAGTTATTGAGATGCGTCGGGATGATCCAGTCATGGTAAGCATGAAGTTATCCACTTCCGCCATCGTTTCATTAAGGTTATGTCTGTTAACCTGTAAAACAGACCATGCTGAAGCCCAAACCCAACTCTTTCTTTGACCCCAACGCCACATACGTTATTTCCGGTGGATTAGGTGGCCTTGGTCAGAATGCTGTTAATTGGCTTGTTTCTCGTGGGGCGCGAAATCTTCTCCTACTGTCGCGATCTGGTGGAGACAACCCCGAGGGACGTAACCTACTTGATCAATTACATAGCCAAGGCGTGAAAGCCCTGGCTCCGGCATGCGATGTGAGCGATGCACAGTCGCTCCGCCAAGCGCTTGACGCTTGTCAATTACACATGCCCCCCATCAAAGGCTGTATTCAGGGTGCAATGGTGTTGCATGTACGTATAGCCCGCGCTTCAAGAAACTCCTCTGGATACTAACCCTACCATAGGATGTTTTATACGAAGACATGCCATACACCGCCTGGCAAACCGCAGTCAGTCCCAAGGTGCAAGGGTCATGGAATCTCCACGAGCTCCTGCCCAAGGGGATGGACTTCTTCATCTTGTTATCGTCAATCAACGGTCTGGTCGGCTCCAGAGGACAGGCCAATTATGGCGCCGGCAACACCTTCCAAGACGCACTTGCTCACTACCGGGTCAGTATCGGCGAGCGCGCTACGTCTCTTGATCTGGGTCTCTTCACCTTCGCCGGGGCAGTAGCCAAGGATCCCAAACTGCGGGAGATGATGCGAAAAAACTCAGTCTTAGAGCCGGTCATCGAGGCGCAGTTCCACGCTTTGCTCGACTCGTATTGCAACCCTGCCGTAGCCCGAGAGCTCGGGCTGAGCTGCCAGACAGCGATCGGTATCCACCCAGTGGCGATGGAGAGGGGTGCCGGAAGGGCGTACTGGCTCGAGAAACCGCCGTTCGGGTTCTTACAGCTCGACCAAGCATCGCAGGCGACCAGCAGGGCCAGGCGCGCGGCGTGGACATCGCTACCGCGTTGCGGAGTGCCGCATCATTGGCGGAGGCAACCACATTGACTGCAGAGGCCCTCACCCTGAAGCTTTGTAAGGTCCTCTCGCTTTCCGAAGGTGATATCGATGCAAACAAAGCTTTGCATGAATATGGCGTGGATTCGCTCGTTGCAGTAGAACTTCGAAGCTGGTTCTCGAAAGAGATGCATGCCGATGTTGCCGTGTTTGATATCATGGGGCGCGCCACTGTTAATTCTCTCGCGCAACTGGCAGCTGGCCGAAGCAAGCTGGAAAAGGGATGGGCTGCGTGAGGTGAGAAGTCTTTAGAAATTTATCAGGTAGTTGGCAATGTTAGTCGAGTCTGTGTAGTCTCTTTCTCAGCAGATTCTGTGCGAACTAAATCCATTTTGTCATTATTCATAGGATCGCCGGGCGAGATAGTAGGTCTTAACTACTTAAATTTGATATATAGTACGATCAATTTTAATCAGAAACAGAACCTAGTGCCCTAACGCAGCCTCAAAGGGGTGTGTGGTATACTCTCATCCTCATTCCGAGCATGATATACAGATCTCTAGCAACGTAATGATAATCTCTAGAAAAGCTCATCAACAATAAGCACAGAGCAATGCACAGCATTTTCTCAATTCTGTAAAATGTACATAGTACATACATTCATTCATACATACATACAGCAAATCAACCAACCAGCTCCCTAATGCACAGTGATGTCATCCCTAAGATCGACATGAGCAAGTGAGGCTTGGGCTCCAGTTCTCGCCTCGGATCCTTAGTCACCATGGAGAAACAGGAAGAGACACTCTAGGCAAACCTGACGTGGCCGCTACTTGTACCAATCAGTTGGAGTGGTCGTGTGCTGTCTATGTCGTTGCCTCTTATTTGGTGCATACTATTTGACTGACTCTGTCCACTTGGAGGGATTTGCTGGCTGTACTTTCTAGGCAACCAAGGTCGGGACAAAAAAGAAAAAACAAGGATTTAGTAGGTATCGTGGTATACTAAGGATATTGTGAGCATTCTCGTGGTAGAGATGTTGGGAGTCAATGTCGGCCTGATGGGATTCAGTTAGGGCTTGAGTCTTGACAACGCCCGACATGAGGGGCAGTTGATCGTTCCACCGGTCCACATACTCTGTACTCAGTATCATAATGGTTTGAATTGTTTTTTATTTCATATTTTCACAGTCCTAGTTATCTGGTATATATGTTATATTATGTAAACAAACAGGGAAACACAAGCAGACATCCGCCCAAAACAAAACCCAGTAAGAATAATCATTAAATAATAAATCATAGCCACCGAAGTTCGAACACATACCAGGAGTCCAGGATCCCAACTACATCATCACACATCCACCTCGGCGGTTTTTCTCTCGCGCCATTTGCGTTTCCAGCTCCAATAACCGTGCTTCATACTCGTCTCTGGCTCGCAGCACCCGCAGATCGGCGTCTCGCTGGTGCAGGGCTTCCTTGTGCGCCATTTCCTTTTCGTACATTTCCTCTCGCTCGGCGTCGCGTTGTCTGCGTAGCTGATCGATGGCTTCTCGGTGCGCCATCTCCTGCTGGTGCATTGCGTCTCGCTCCCTCTGCAGCTCGTCGATGTCCATGCGTAGTAGGCTTTGCTGTTGCTTACTGCTCTTCAACTCCTCCTCGAGCTCGGCCCGCACGGCCTCGATCTCCTTCTTATGATTTAGATCCTGTCTGCGCTCGGCCTCACGCATCTCCTTGCGCAGCTCATTGAGCTGTCTCTCATACCTAGCCCGCAACCGCTCCACCTCCGCCTGCACCTCCTTCCCTGCGGCCGTCTCGCCCAGTGACTTCCCACTGGCCATCTCCTCCTGAATCCGCAGCGTCACATTCTGCGGCCGGCTCAGGATATACCGGATAATCTCCGTGGCAGACGCAATCCCATCATCCTGCCGAAACACCCGGCTCCCGTGCCCGATCATCTCGCCCCAGAACTTGCGCTCCGATTGCAGCTGGCTCTCGCGCCGGACCTCCTTCTCGGACGGCGGGCTGCTCCACATCGTCGTGGCCAGCACGACCCCACTGAGACATTTCTCGCCGCAGAGCTTCTTGAACATCATCAGGTTGCGGATGGAGGCGCCGCCCATGCGCACGTCCTTGATGCGGTGCAGGTAGATGATCCCCGCGAGCTTGATGTTCTCGTTGTAGGAGAAGCGCAGCCAGTCGGCGATCTCGACCAGCACGTCCGTGTCGGACCGCGTGGTGTCGTCGAACCCTGGAGTGTCGATCAGGAAGATCCGTTGGTTGTCTATTTGGGCTTGGTGGATGCCGACTTCGGTTGTGCCTGTGGGTTTGGTAAGTGGACTGTTTTTTCTTCCTTCTTTTTCGTTTTTCTCTGTTTCAGAAAGGAAAGGAGGGGAATGGGGTAAGACCTACAGGAGAGCAGGCTATCGCCTACAAGGGCGTCTTCGTTAAAATGCGAGATGAAGGTGCTTTTCCCGACACCTGTTATCCCCATGACGGCAATGACGCGGTCGTCTGGTCTAAGCGGACAAAAAGTGAGTAAAACGGTGAGTGGATCATGCATGGAAGTGAATATACGTACGTGATATCCGGCAGCTGTACATCATGATGGTCTTTTTTAAACATGGGAGTGATGGGCTCGTCCAGCGAGACCTGGGACTCGTAGCCGGATTCTGACTCCGAGTGCATCTTGACTATAATAACCTGGCACACAATAACAATACTCTGACAAGAAGACAATAGTTTGAGCCCGTAGTCAGAGACTAGACAAGGGACTTGAAAGAGAGAGGTTTGGATGTGATTAAATCTCGAATTCCCCGGCAGAGTGAAAAGTAGCATTTAAGCCAGCGTGGAAAACTGGGGCTTCACTCTCTCTGCCTCCCTGAGGCCCCGTATCAGGGACACGCATTCCACAGCTTGACGTGTCAGGTAACATGGCTTTTTTTGCTGCCTTATAGTAGCGCTTGGTTCGTAGCTGCAACACTTGCGTAACGAGAGGAGTACGTAGGAGAGGGAAGGGAAAGAAAACGAACAACAAAACACCCAATTACCCACTTTTGCTTCACAAGTCGAGCCGTTTGCTTGTGGTGACACGCAGCGAGCAGGCGTTTTGCAGCTGCTTTACTGGGGCGTTGCCAACTCAGTCTTGGGTCTGAAAGACGGGGCCAGACAAGTAGACAAGTCAGAGCCTGCGCATTTACTGGACTTACATGCCTGGCCAAGTGCTGTTGGGCCTTGACTTTTGCCTTGTGTGCCTCATTTTTTTTTTTATTCTATTTTTGTTTTGCTGATAGCTTGGTTTTGTTGTTTCTTTTAATTCGTTTGTATACATGTCTCAATTTCCTGTTTTCTTCCTTCATTCTATATCTCTCTATCTTCGTTTGTAAATCTCCTTAACTTCAACATCAACCCTAACCCCCTCCCCTCGACAAACTAAACACCCAACTAACCAAAGAAATAAAACCCCCACAATGACCACAAAAGGCTACTTCGCCGGTATCCGCCGCAGCTCCACGGAGCCGATCTCGAAACCGGCCCGGCGAATATCAGTTGCATCAGGTGCAAATGCAATACCAGAAGTGTCCTCACCACGCCGCAACAGCCACAACGTGCACTTCCGCGAGAGGGACACAAATACCCAACAGTAAGAGAGAGCCCTTTTGCTGAGTCCCATTCACATTCACTTGGTCTTGTACACTCGGACTCAAGAAATGCTAACATGCCACATCCAGAGATGACACGGTCGTGATCGCTGTCATGGGCGTCACGGGCTCCGGGAAGAGTTCCCTGATATCTCTTCTTGCGGATCAGCCGGTGGGGATTGGGCATAATTTGCAGTCTCGTGAGTTCTATTCTTCTTCTTCTTCTTCTTCTTCTTTCTTAAAAAAAAGGGGTTGAATGGTGGATGGGATGTAAGATATCATACTAAGACGGATTTACATAGATACAACCCACACAGACATGTTCAGCTTCTCGCACCCCGAAACCAAACGCACCGTTATCCTCCTCGACACCCCCGGCTTCGACGACACCGAGCGCTCCGACACGGAAATCCTCAAAGAAATCTCCTGCTTCCTGGCCATGATCCATGAGAAGCGGTGGCGACTGGTGGGCATCGTGTACCTGCACCGCATCACCGACCCGCGGTTGGGGGGCTCTGCCATGAAGAACCTGCACATGTTCGAGAAGCTGTGCGGTAGCGGCAGCTTCCCGGGCGTGGTGCTGGTGACCAACATGTGGGGGGACCTAGAGCCGACAGACGCTGGGAGGGCGCTCGGGGAGCGGCGAGAGGCGGAGCTGAAGGGCCAGTTCTGGAAGACGATACTCGCGCAGGGGGGCAATGTGATGCAGCATGATGGGTCGAGGGAGAGCGCGGCGGCCATTGTGTCGTCGCTGGTCCGGCGGAATGAGGAGGTGGTGTTGCATATCGTGCATGAGTTGGTCGAGGAGCGGAAGACGCTGGATGAGACCGAGGCCGGGCAGTATGTTCAGGCTGAGCTCTTGAAGATCAAGAAGAAGTATGATCGTGAGATCGCTGATCTTCAGGAGAGTATGGAGGAGGCCATGGAGGCCAGGGACGAGGAGACCGCCCGAGCTATCAAGAGGGAGAGGGAGGCGGCTAAGGCGAAGGTGGCGCAGAAGGCGCGCGAGTCTAAGGGCCTCCGCATCTCGATGCAGCAGCTCGTGCAGGAGAAGATGGCCGAGTATGATGCTCGTGCCACGGAGCCGGATAACCAGGAGGCCGTCAGGGGTCGTATCGCGGAGCTCTTTGAAGAGTTCAAGTCCGAGATGCGCGAGGAGATGCGGGAAGAGCTGGAGGCCGAGATGCGGGACGTCAAGGAAAGGCTGGCGAGGATCGAAACCGGGCCGACTGAGAAGGTGGAGCAGCGCGTTGAACAGCGAGAGGAGGAACAGCCGAAGGAAGATAACAAGTCGGGCGGGCTCATGGGATGGTTCTCCAGACCTCTCAGCGGGTTCAGCCGAGCCTGAACGAGTGGCAACGCATCATGGTTTATGCTGGAGGGATACTGCACTTTCTTTCTGTCAAGGTATAATAATCTAGGAGTTTGTATTTACACGGCTATACACTGAACGGACAATAATGCACTTCACAAATGCACTTTAAATATGCACGGATAAGCACATGCTTCCATCTTCGGGCCGCATAGATCAGCATTAGCCTTGCATCAACTGCCGTCCACGCCCACAAGGAAGAATAAGGGCATGGGGGGTCACGGGCCAATCACGTGGGGCATATTGGGATGCAGCAGGAGGGTCATATGAAAGAGTACCTAGGTACGAACTCGCCTCGCAACCCCTCGAGATCCTCGAGCTGATGTGGGGCTCGCAAGCTCTGCTCGAAGAGGAATCGTCCAGACTCCAGACTACACTAGCGCATGCGGGGAAGGCACTTGACTGGTGGGGAAAATCCTGGCTCATTTCTGAAGATCAGCGGGTGCGATGGTATAGCTGACCTACCTGGAGGATCCTCGACCGTGATAAGAATAACCGGGAGTCCCGGGCTAACGCGCATGGCTTCCAGAGTTGTGTTTTCGAGCCAGATTCGACACTACCCTCGCCATGATTGAAGACTTGCTCCATCAGATGACGCCCGGGAAGGCAGCTCTTTGCCTCCTCGGCGTCTTCTTTCTCGCCTGCATAGTTCGAAAAGTACAGATATCAATGCAGATTCAACGGCTGGGGGGCAGGGCCCCTATGATACAGTTTCGCCTCCCATACGGCAAGTATTTCCGAGATCCTGCAAGCACGACGTCATTAACATGACCGTATAGCCATGGACTTTATCTACAAATCCCTTGCCGCAAACAGAGCCCACCGCGACCTGGAGTTCTTCAGCAACGCAATCAAGACAGCGAAGGGGCCATCGCAGATTAACAATCCAAAAACCGCAGAGGTCAGCGCAGGCGTCTCGGCTCGAATCATCTTCACCCGAGACCCCGAGAACATCAAGGCCATCCTCGCGGGCCAGTTCGCAGACTATGGCAAGGGTGAGCCCTTCCATAACGACTGGAAAGAGTTCCTGGGCGACAGCATCTTTGTCACAGACGGTGAGCTGTGGTCGCGCTCACGACATCTGATTCGACCGATGTTTGTGCGCGAGCGGATCGTGGACACCGAGGTCTTCGAAAAGCATGTGCAGCACCTTATCCCCTTCCTGTCAGGACAGGATTCACCGGTCAGTAGCAAGGTCGTCGATGTTGGCCCGTTATTCTTCCGCTACACGTTGGACGCAGCTACCGACTATCTGCTGGGCCAAGGCACGGACAGTCTCCAGAACCCGACGACGCTGTTTAGCGAAGCATTCGGCTATGTGCAGCATCGCCAGGCCGATCTAACACGACTCGGGTACGTACAACCATCCACTGCAGTATCAGTGAGGCTCCACAAGTCCATATCTCATCAACTAACCATGCCACATACAGTGTCTTCAAGTTCCTGCTCTCGCTGAAGGAATTCCGCCGCAGCCTCAAGATCATGGACAACTTCATCCAACCCTACATCAGCCGAGTCCTATCCCTATCAACCGCCGAACTCGACCAGAAACTGTCCAAACAAGACACATTCCTAGACTCCCTCGCCCGCTTCACCCGAGACCCAAGAGTCCTCCGAGACCAACTGGTTGCAATCCTGCTCGCAGGCCGCGACACAACAGCCGGAACGCTCTCCTTCTGTCTCTTCGAACTCGCCCGGAACCCCGACGTCGTGGCAAAACTGCGACAGGAGATCGAGTCGCGACTCGGCGTCGGAGCCAAGGGCCAAAAGCCCAGCTACATCGATCTCAAGGAGATGAAGTACCTCAACGCGGTCCTTAATGAAACTATGCGTCTGTACCCGGTCGTTCCGTTCAATGTTCGTCTCGCGCTCCATGATACCACCCTGCCCCGTGGCGGTGGTCCGGATGGGCTTTCTCCGATCGGTGTTCGTGCTGATACCCGCGTGATATATTCTACGATGCTGATGCAGCGGAACCCGGAGAATTATGATGCTCCTGGCTCGGCTCAGTACGTGGACCCCGAGAAGTTTCATCCTGACCGCTGGTTGTCTGGCTGGCAGCCTAAGCCGTGGCGGTTTATCCCCTTCAATGGGGGCCCGAGGATCTGTCTGGGTCAGCAGTTTGCGACGATCGAGATGGGATATACGGTTGTTCGAATTCTCCAGGCGTTCCGGGAGATCAAGGCGTACCCGGTTAGTGGGAAGGCGGTCGTGGAGGATCCTGTTCTTCGGTTTGAAGTCACCTTGAGTCCGGGATCAGAGTTGAATTGTCTCTTTGTGCCGGAGGAAGAAGCGGGTGTTACTCAATGAGCGAGTTTTGTTTGACTTCTTGATCTTACGACTGATGAAAGGTGAAAGGATCTAATATCCCGTACAGTATAATGGGTGGTCATAGGTTATTTGGGTATATAAATTGTCAAAGAGCGTGTTGTATATAGCTTCTGTTTCATAACTTCATTATATGCTGTGTGAATGGACATCGTGAAGCCCCAAGAGTCTGCCTCCCTAATCATGAATGTACATTTTGGTACAGTAGAATGTGCTCATCTCAACGAACCAGCTGAATATCAGCGATGGCTACGTTGATAAAAGGGCTACCTTGAGCTTGGTGAGCTTCTTCAGTCTCTGCAGAATCTCGACTCGCCGGAGTTCCAGATACAGATAGTCCTCGTCGGCATCGTCCAGATCACTGGAGATACTGACCAATGGCCTCTTCGCCGGAAGAATACTGCTGTTGACCTTCGCTGGGACCATCTGGGTATTCTCTCTGTGCTGCACAGCAGTGGGAGCATCTTTCTTGGTCTCCGGGACGGCGGGTGGCACCTTGTTCCCAACCCATCCCCTGCTCATGTTGACTGCCTTTTCCCAGAGGGCAAATGACTCCGCACTTTGCTGGTGGCCAATCCGAGGCTCGAAGACCGTTCCCCCAGAACGGTTGATATCGCGCAATTCGGCAAAGTTCCGCCAAAGCCCAACTGCCAGGCCGGCAGCAATGGCCGCACCTAGCGCGGTCGTCTCTCGCATCTTCGGGCGATAGACCGGAATAGAGATCAGGTCTGCTTGAGTCTGATTGTGAAATGTAAGTGAACAAGAAAAACAACAGCCCAAAAAAGGTATCAATTGGGGGTGGTAGCTTAGGCGCAGTGATTATCGTACCTGCATTGCAAGATCAGAGTTACTCATTCCTCCGTCAACTGCCAGCTCCGACAGCGCATGGCCACTGTCCTTTTCCATCGCGTCCAGAATTGCCTTTGTTTGGAAGCAGGTCGCTTCAAGCGTGGCCCTGGCGATGTGGCCCTTCTTCGTGTACTGTGTAATTCCGACTAAATCCTATCAGGAGCTGGTCTAAAATAGATGAGGGGCTGTTCTCACAGATAGTTCCTTTCGCGTCGTCAATCCAATAAGGTGCAAAGAGCCCGCTGAACGCAGTAACAAAGACACATCCTCCATTATCTTCCACCGTGAGAGCCAAATCGTTAACTTCTTTAGACTCCTTGAAGAACTCCAGGTTGTTCTGCAGGAACTTGACTCCGGAGCCACCAACAGCGATGCTCCCCTCGAGAGCGTACACTGGCTTTCCATCAAAGTGATAGGCGACTGTGGCCAATAGGCCGTGTTTGGATATAACAGGCTTTTCGCCCACATTGTAAAGGAGGAAACACCCTGTGCCGTATGTGTTCTTTGCCATTCCTGGCGAGAACCCTTTCTGGCCGACAAGAGCCGAGGACTGATCGCCGAGACAACCCATGATAGGGACGCCAGCGAGGACTCCATCTGAGATAACGCCATAGGCTTTTGTATCAGAAGATGGAACAATCTTCGGCAGATGAACTCTTCCTCGAATGTCAAAGAAGTCTAAAAGCGAGTTGTCGTACTCTAGAGTTTCCAAGTTCATGAACATCGTCCGTGACGCATTGGTAGGGTCCGAAACAAATACATTTGCTTGGCGACCTCCGTTCAAATAATACACGAGCCAGGTGTCTATGGTACCAAATGCGAGCGTACCGCGCTCATAAGCGTCCTTGACCCTGAGGACATTTGCGAGCATCCAGAGCAGCTTGGACGAGGATGAATAGGTTGATAACGGGAGGCCACAGATTTGCTGTAATCGTGACGCCCCAGGCTTCTCCTTCAACTCATTGACAATCGCTTGCGATCGCGTATCCGTCCACACGATGGCATTGCACAGTGGTTCGCCAGTTTCATAATCCCAAACCACAGTGGTTTCTCTCTGATTGGTAATCCCGACCGCCTTGATATCAACGCGAGAAAAACCAGTGGATTCAAACTGTTTGACTGCTTGCTCCACACATGTTTCCACAGAAGACACCAGGTCCAGTGGGTTGTGCTCATGCCATCTGAGTCACCCATTAGTCGCAAGCCGTTGAACGCATGAAAGTTCAAACCCTGAGAAGAAAAAAAAGAAGGAAGAGAAGAGCAACAACAAGGGACAAAAGAGCTCACCCGGATTTTGGATAGATCTGCGGAAACTCAACCTGATGCGAGGCCACCGGTTCCCCTTCGCGATTGAAGATCAGAAACCTGGTACTGGTGGTACCCTGGTCAATCGAGCCTACAAAGATGTCTGATTGCTGCATAGCTAGGGCGTCTCGCGACCAGCGGGATGCTTGAGCTGTGTGACAACCTCGCGCAACTTTTCCAATGGACCGGTAACAAAAGCGACTAGGGGAAGTGGGAAAGCGAGTAAAGACACAAGCCCTGTGAAGCAAGAATAGAAATAGCGACCGCGGAGAGTAAGCTGTCATATTACTTATATGAATCCCGCGAACCGATGACCGGGACTAATCCTTCGGTTCAATTTCTCCGTCACATAGCGAATCAACTGCGGGGAATGCGACTTGGATCCAAGGCAACGACCAGTAGAAAGCGCGACACGATCGAAGATAGGAAAATGACAAGAAAAGGCACGGGTGGCTGAGCCAAACCAGCACTCAGGTGAATAGGGGCAATGTCGCTCATTCGCGGAGGGCAGGACTGAGCGAGGACAATGCTGCGAGGACCGCGTTTCCAACTGGGCTAGTAGTCAACAGGGATCAGGGTCGTAAAGATTCCATACCATTTCCAGCGAGTCGCATATGCTGAGAGGATAAATTAATTTAGTTTGTTCTTGGTCCGGGAAGAAAGGCAAAAAAAACGGGAGCACCTGACGCGACGTGACCTTTTCTGGGCCCCAACCGCAAGGGAATTAATTCCGATCCGATGAATTCGTATTGTGCCCTCCCTTGCGTTCGCCTGCAGATGGAATGATGCGATGCTGGCAAACAAGTCCAGAGGATCAGCACTTGCGATCGTCGCAGTGGAGTCCAAGTGATCCACCCCCACAAATTGCGGGGTTCGCTCGTCGACTACTGCACCCCATGGACATCCGATCGTCGATGTACTCAACCCTATCTCCAGATCCTGGAATGTTTCCAGAACGTTGTGGAGACCAATGCAGCAGTGACATTTCCCTGCTCATGGCCCTTACAGAGCCGCACGCTTATCAGCCATATTAGATGCACTCATTAATCTCTCTACAAATGGGGACCAACTTCCCGGAGCCACCATCACGCCGTCTGGGATAATAACAGCCAGGATGCGTGTATTGCTGCAAGACAGAAATATCAGAAAACCTCTGTACCACCGGCGTTGACCCAGAGCTACAGCGCCCAATCCTTGCGGTCTGACTGCCAGCCAAGCAGAATGACAGGGTGACACAAGTATCAATAGGCTTTTTCTCTGCATTACCATTCGGCAACCCATCGGAGAGCATGACATGAGGCCACGCCTAGACTCCTTGCAATTGGCGAGACTCTACGCTTTCCGATGAGGTACCTCGAAATAGTGCTATTAGCCAAGTTTAGAATGTTGAACAGGTGCTCCGTACTGTATACAGGTCGTGCCCAGGGTAGTGTCGAGGAAATGTTATCCTCTTCCAGATGAGATGCTTCTTCAAGCCCGTTCCCCTTCACTCCTCCTGTCCGTTTTAGCTGATTGACCATGCATTGGCCCTCTGGGGGCTGTTCTTAAACCGGTTGCGTTCTTCATCCCAAGCCGGCTGGATCAGTCTATCCAAGTCTTCTGGCTACCGGCGAGAAGGTAGCCAAGGCTGTCCGGTGTATATTCACTCGAGTCTTAATGTATACAGCAGGGATCAAGCGTATCGGACGCGACATGAGGCCTGAGTACGTCGGAGTTATTCACTACGTCGTTTTATTAAAGCACTCTCGCTGCCCCCCTACCACTCGAGACACACTTTCATGCATATTGTAAGAACTTGACATCCTGTTCGTAGGAAACCATTCTAGATCCAATATCGGTCAGCATGAAACAGATCATCGAACATACCACTGACCACCAGGATGGCACGCATGTTGCCGTCCTCCCAGCTGATAAGCCTGTCTCTGCCGCGCTGGGCGTCACACTCAGCTCAGACGAGAGGGAGCTCGGGCACCCCCCGCTCCTCTGGAGCAAGATGCGAGAATACATCCGCGAAGGCGCATCCGAGTTCTTTGGCACCATGATCCTCGTTCTCTTCGGCGACGGTGTTGTCGCACAGGTCACGCTGAGCCGCGGCGAGAAAGGCGACTACCAGTCCATCTCCTGGGGCTGGGGGTAAGTCCCTCCCAAGCAAAGCCACCCACCCTACCTCCCCCTCTGACAGATCCACACCCAGCCTCGGAGTCATGCTCGGCGTCTACGCCAGCGGCATATCCGGCTCGCACATCAACCCGGCCGTGACGCTAGCCAGCTGCCTACTGCGCAAATTCCCCTGGCGCAAGCTCCCCATCTACGTCGTCGCCCAAGTGCTCGGCGCCATCTGCGGCGCAGCCATCGTGTACGGGAACTACAAATCCGCCATCGACGTCTACGAAGGCGGCCCCGGCATCCGCACCGTGCCCGGCTACTCGCAGACAGCCACGGCGGGCATCTTCAGCACCTACCCGGCGGCCTTCATGACGCGCACGGGCCAGTTCTTCTCCGAGTTCATCGCCAGCGCCATCCTCATGTTCATGATCTTCTCTCTGAAAGACGACGCCAACCTCGGCGCCGGCCCGCTCACCCCGCTGGCCCTGTTCTTCGTCGTCTTCGGCATCGGCGCCTGCTTCGGCTGGGAGACCGGGTACGCTATCAACCTGGCCCGGGACTTTGGGCCCCGTCTCTTGACTTATATGCTTGGCTATGGCCCGCATGTGTGGACCGCTGGAAATTATTACTTCTGGGTACCGTTTCTTCTTAACTACCCTTTCTCCCACGTCCCTTCTCCTACTTCGTCGATTACACTAGGGATGATAGCTCACTGGAAATAATGGCTAGGTCCCCATCATCGCCCCTTGTCTTGGTTGCTCCTTCGGCGGCTGGATCTACGACATGTTCCTCTATACCGGGGCCGAGAGCCCTGTCAATACACCCTACATCGGTCTCCAGAGACTCGTCACGCCGCTACGTCCGAAGCACAAGGACCTCGGGAGTCATGTATGACCAACTGGGCCCCCCTGAAGAATATGCAGGCATGATGTGTGGGAAACCTATTTCATCCGGAGTTCAAACCATGACAGCCTGGACTCTACTACAGATGTTGTTACTAAATAAGGTTCTATCAGGGGACGGACTGATGGTCTTAGAAATAATTCTTCACGAATATTCAGAGCGAATAATGAAATCTGGGGTATTCATGGCTGGGGGGTGTTTGAGAGTGATAATAAAATGGTGTAGAATTGGCACGGTTCTTCGTTCTGCTTTCCTTCCAGCTCATATTCTTGTAGTATGCGAATGGTGACGATCTCTCGAGTGGTGGTAGTCTTATGACCAGCCTCGCTACGGATGCCACCGTTTCATTCTTGGCTCTCAGGCAGACACTCAGGTTGTTTGCAAGTTAACTTAAGGTTGGGCTAAATTAGTGCTGACCGGCGATGAGAATAGCGTGCACGCCACATCGGCTGACCATGGTCGATACCGGTGGATCAGGTAGCGTCGACCTCTCACCTGAGGTATTTTACCTTTAATTTCAACGTAGGGAAACGAGCGCTGCTATTATTGGTGGACTATACTTGCATTGGTCTTTCTAAGCTAACAGAAACCAACCCAGCCCGTATAATACATATTCAATGGTCATTAATCATGGTAACAAGACACCTGCAGAAACTCAAGGTCCTATGTATGTACAGGTCGAGAACCTTGGTCGTAAGAGTCGTAACCTCATATCCCATTCCCATCATAAATGGCACCTTCCAAGGCGCCTCGTCTAATTCATACTGCCCGTTCAAGTCATGACCAGCGCACTGCCGACCACCACGCAAAGAGCGACCATAGGCAAAGGGGCGTCAAACATGGCATTTGCGGCCCCTACATTAGGCGCTATATGGGCTGTAGTCGTGGCGGCAGGGGTGTTTCCAGGACCATTCGAGCCGCTTGCAGTAGTTGTGGAAGAGGGGGAGCCGGTGGAAGTCGATGATGACATGGTCATGGTTGAAGAGCTAAATGATCGTGTCGGAGAGATAGTCCGCTGCGTAGAAGTGACGGCTGTATCTGTTGAGGTAATGGTCGTACGTGACGAAGAGATAGTAGGGTAAGTCGATGTGCTGGCTGGTTGGGCCGGGGAGCTAACTAGTTGCGTTGGCGTTGGCGACATGGTGAAGAGCCCCGTCGAACTGAGAGTCCATATGGTGCTTCTAGTGCCAGAAAGGGAAACTGAACCCTGCGACAAATGCGATGATACAAACGTAGATGGGCGACAGGACTGTTTTTGAGACACATAGCATTAGTAATCCATCTAAGCTGCGAAAAGGTTTGGGCAATGCTCACTCACTGAAGCCGCGCTGGGCGGCTGGACTTGTCGAGAGCCAGAAAATGTCCAGCCACTTGGCAGAGGACCCTGGCCCCTCGACTCTCCTGGAGTAGCCGTGGTAGCTCGAGGGACCCAAGGCCAGATACTCGGGGTCACAAAGCTCGAGGTTTGGCGGTGCGTCCCACTCCATGGGATAGGGATACTCGCGACGGTTGAGGTGATGGCCGGGGCAGATTCGACAGAAGAGATAGACTCAGCCGCAATATTACCATTGACCTTTCCACCGGTTGCCTTGATTGACTGCCACGACCCACTCTGATCACCGTACGAGTACTCGGTGCCGGTTGAATAGTCGGTCACCTTAAGCGATTTCAAGTACATCGTGTAGGGGCCGGCATTGTAATCAGTCTTGCCGCCCGCCCAGTCTTCAGATTGGTTAGCTTTGAAGAACGTAATGTATGACATTCGGCGGAATATAAGCAGGGAACTCACCAATAGTACCCTGTGGGTTGTTTGGATCACCACCAGCCCAAACTCCAACTTTAACCATCATCGGGGATTGAGGATATTGATTGGTCGCCGCGGTATCCGGAGTCAGTACCCGAACGGTCTTGCCATCGATTTGCCAAACAATCTGTTCGCTGGTCCAATCAATCGTGTAGGTGTGGAAGCTGTCGTGATTTCCCACGTTATCATGGGTAGCGCCACGGTTGAAGCTATCAGTGTTTCCCTTTCCGAAGTAGTTCGACTGGACCAAGACATTATTGCCCCCAAGCCATTCCCAGTCAATTTCGTCCAAGTCGTCCGACT